GCAAAATCAAACTTGACAAAATCGGAAAGAGAAATTAGTCTAAAACAGGACAAAAATATTGTCATCGCAAAAGCTGACAAAGGAAACGCCACCGTAGTTTTGAATAAATCTGACTATATCAAGAAAGTTACTAAATATATTCAAACGGGTCCATATGAAGAAATTAAGAGGCCTGTGGATACAATAATGAATAAGGTTAAGAAATCTACAGCAGAACTAATACGCAGAATGAAGCCGTCACTGGGTGAGTCAAAATGGTTCAATTTAATGCCTAAAACTAATAATGCTAGTAGAATAGCAGCAAGTAGTGGGCCTTTCAGCTCTCTTGATTGCATAGCTAATTTTCATCAGGATGTAATTGCACACGAGAAAACCTTTTTTATCTATTTAACACTGCTAGGAACCAGCAATAATTAGTATATCATCATAACTCACGAATCTTGTGATTTATCCTGTGATGGAGTTACTATTTTAATCCATCATTTCGCAGGCATATCATGATTCATTTTTTGATCAATTCATCATCTTTTGTCTCATCTTTGTCTTTGTCGGATCGCCAAGCAATCAGAATAGCTATTGCCAGCCAATAAGAAAAAAATAATACATTCTTATGGCTGTGAGCCGACTATATTGTGGTAAAGAAAATGTATAAATATGATGTTGAAATAATAGAGAAAATTTGTAGCTCAGGTGGATAATTTGCAATTAATAGTGTTCCATGAGCTGGTTGGTTTGGTTGCGGAGCTTTCGTCGTCCTTCTGGACAACATCTTCAGCTCAATATTTAGCATAAAGTGAAATGATTTAAATTTCTTCATGAGTGATATAATTAAGTCTCCCAGTAACCATCTTTACATCCGTATTGACCATTTTCTATTGACTTTGATTTTAAACTTTCTGGTCACCTGATTTACTTTTTATTAGTTGGTATGTTTCGTCTATATTAACGTGCTTGTTAATTGCATTTTCGTTTGAGTACCAGGCTTCTAGGAATTCCCTGACTGCACTTTTAGTGTTTCCTCTGTCTAAGATTTTGACATTATCCCAATCAAATTGATGTCCATAATTGTCTACATGCATTGATACTAAAGAATACAACATATCGTGTCTTTTCACGGCTGACTTGTGTTCTTGGATTCTGATTCGAAGGGGACGCCCACTTTGGCCTATGTAATGCTTGTTGCAGTCCATACAATTTATTTTGTAAATGGTATTAATTTTATCTCCTTTTTCTATTGGATCTTTCACTTTGCATAACATCGAATTAAGCTACTTGACTGGTTTGTGTGCTATATTCATTTCAAACGGTTTCAGTATTCTAGCTGTTATTTCAGAGATATTTTTCGTGTATGGTAGGGTGAATTTCCTTGTGGTCTTTGATGATGGTTTCTTGCTGGTGTTTTGATTCAACTTTAAACACTTTTTGGTGAAATTTTGTGGATAACCATTCTTTTTGAAGACCGTTTGTAGGTATTTTTCTCCCATTCTTTTCAACTCTGGAGTGCTACAATGTGTTTGAACTCTTTTAAACAATGTCTGCACACAGTTTCGTTCCTGAGTAACTGGATTATTGCTAGTATAGTTGAGTATTTGATCTGTGTGCGTTTATTTTCTATATACTTGTGTCTCTAAATTTCCTGTGTTGGTTCTCCTGATTAAAACATCTAAAAATGGGATTTCGTTATCTAATTCTTCTTCTCTTGTGAATTTGATGTCTTCAAATATGTTGTTTATTAATTTATGGGTATATTCTAAATCATTTCTTTTAATTATTACAAATGTATCATCAACGTAACGTATCCAGATTTTCGGTTTAATTATAGGTAGAGATATTAATTCTTATCTTTGCATAATGGCTTCAGCTACTAATCCTGATATGGGTGATCCCATCGGTGTTCTTTTTATTTGTTCATATATTTGAGTATTGAATTGGAAGTACGTTGTAAAACATAATTTTATGAGTTCTATCCAAGTTGAACATTGCGTTTTTATGTTTTCATCACTATAGAGTAATTGTTGCATAGTTTCTGTTGCTAGTTTTGGACTAATTGAAGTATATAATGCTGTGACATATATAATACTCCGCAACCGAAGTAACCAGCTCAGAGAATACTATTAATTGCAAATAAATATGATGTGTTGCTGTTTCCTAATAGATGTATAATGCAATATCCTACAGTCACAGACCAGCTTGTGTCTTTTGATATTTGCTTGGCCTAGTAGCAGTTGATTTCACTACTGTTATAACAATTAACGGTTCAGATATAACAAATACAGAGTGGTAAGACATGAATAACTGGATGGCGTTTTAAGCACAATTTATTTCTCATAATCATATAAATGTATTCATCACATGACTTGTATCATTTCAATTGCACGTATTATGCATTGATTCAATGAACAGAAATTCGCTGATTAAACTCTTTCTCCACCTACCTATATTACCTTTTGATACTTTTACCTTGTCTCAGCCTATTGTGTGATTACTTGCAAGTGAATACATTGCAACGGCTTAGCTTAGCACAATCAATCATTATAGATCTTGTCGAATCTTGTACATGACTTTTATTTAAAACGATTCATGCTGGAATATAGATAACTTCCGAGTACAATCTGAAATACACTGTGTTGCTGATCGCTTCATCGTTCCACTAGTCTATACTGTCTACTTGTTTCACTACTAACAGTGTTGTATACTTTGGACTTTGCAAGAGCATCCCATCCTTATCCGAAGGCTCTTCTACAATCAGTTCACAGCTTCTACCAGTGGACACGACCCTAGCAGAGAACGCTCTTGTGGATTATATTAATAATTTGTAGCAATGGACTTTACCTTTATAACCAAGTAATCCTATTAATTTATATAACTCATTACTGTATTTTTTATAATATACTGTTACCCTATCATCTCATTAACTTGGATTTTTATTCAAATACTTGTTCTGTTACTGAGCTCCCCAGGAAGTCCCCTACAACAGGATCAGAAAAACAAAACATGCTTTCATTACTCTAAAATCAATGTTATGTGAAGATCTACTGCTCTCAGCACATGGAACAAGATTTGAATTGTCAGAACTAATATCGAGTCAGTCAGCTTTTCTATATATATCTTGGCGACATGATGCATGCGTCACGGAATACATTTCCAACAGGCCACTCAACTTCTATCAACATCAACATCTTCCCTGGTTTGATGCTGAAGATCGAGTGGCCAGCCAGCTAGACAAGCAACACAGAACTATGACAGGTGGTGTGAATTATCCAAAAGCCTATTTGCTCAACGATTATGATGAATGAAATGCCGATGGACTGAAAATTCTCTGAAGAGAAATTCAAGTGAAATCATGCTGCAGACACGCCTCTAAGTGAAATCCGAATGGGTAGTGACGAGTTCGGCATCCGAGGGTACCATGAAGGAGCTTACAGGTAAATGTGGAGCAAGCTGAAGGTGACGGCAGTGAACCGGAAACGCAGGGAATGAATGAATAATAATAATAATAACAATACATTTAGTTAAACTACTTTTCATGCATAAGATCTTTTTGTGTATTTTATTAATTTGTGTTATTATTATTGTTTCCTTGGGTTCCTAGTGGAACAAAGGGCTACAAATGCACGTCTCCACTTGTTTCTGTCTGCTGCCGTACCTTTCACCTGAATCCATGTTAGTCCATACTGTTTCAGCTCCTCTTCACACGATCTCCTCCATGTCACCCTTAGACGTCCCACTCGCCGCTTCCCTTTCGGGTTCCACTCGAGCGGTGGCCTGACGCGCGATTTCACCCAGCGGCCTCGTCAGTGAGTGTCCAATCCATCTCCACTTTCTCCTGCATATTTGTTGGCCGATTGGTTCTTGTTCTGTTTGTTCCCATAGTTTCTTGTTGGTGATTCTTTCCGGCGGCCATATGATCTTCAGTATAGAGCGAAGACAGTTGTTGATAAAGGTCGGCAACAGGCTGTTGGAAATATTCTTTGTGACCCGCCAAGTTTCTGATCCGTATAGAAGAACTGACTGACTTGACGTTTGCATTGAAAATCGGAATTTTGTTGCTGATGCTGAGTTGAGTGACGAAGATTTCCAGATTGGTTTCAGGTTGGTGACTGTGTTTCTCGTCTTCCCGATTCTCGATTTGACATCCTCGTCCGTTCCTCCTGTAGTTGAGACAATGCTCCCCAGATAAGTGGATGAAGTAACCTCTATCAAATCCCTCCCGTTGATGGTGATTGGCGCTGGATATTGCTGTTGTTGTTGTTGGTTGGTTATTTTCATAACCTCCGTCTTGTCTATGTTCACCTGGAGTCCTGTCTTTTTTGCTTCTTCAACCAGTTTGTCGGTTTTCGCTTGTAAGTCTTCGATTTTGTGTGACATCAAACATAAATCATCCGCGAAATCCAGGTCTTCTAGATTTTTCACGTCGGTCCAGGATATCCCTGTCTTCTTGTTTCCCACTGTCTGACGCATAATCCAGTCCATCACAATTAATTAGTGTACAGTTTTGCAATTTAGCACGCCTACTATTATGCCGGTATTTAATATAATCCAACTACCGAAGAATTAAAATTTCCGCCAATCATTTTGAAGCTGGCGATATTTTAAATTCTTTTTCTTCAATCGTTATACTAACTAAAGTGAAACAAGTATTTTGATTACATTTGTATTTGTGACATTTCATGGTTTAGGTGTGTTTTTGTCTGTTTTGGTTTTTGATAAGTAGTGATGAAGAAAACAAGAGTTTTTGTTTCTGGAATAACAATAATAGTAATAATAGTTGTTCTATGTGATATAACATTTTTGAGTCTGGCGCATATTTCTTCATAAGCAGTTAAGACAAAAACTTGTTAGTAAGTTAGTTTTACTGATTGAATATTGAACAATCCAACATCCACATTTTTTGTTGTTGTTGCTGTTGTTGTTTTGTTATTCTTAACCAATTAAATAATGCAATGTAACACCTTAAGTGTCATGTAACATTTATTAACCAATTAGATTTGATTGTGTCCTTCAAAGTGTATTTATAGAACAAAACAATCTTATCTTATAATATATAATTCTGATTTATTATTATTACTGAGATTGCACTATTTTGCTTTTCTGTGATACAATTGTCAAAAACAGATGGAAAATATAACAAAAAATTATTATTAGCTAAGGATGCCGAAATTGATTGTTCGAGAAAACATGTAAGTGTGCAGATAGACATTTATTCATATTTCATGATCGTTTATATTTAGATGTATATTTCAAATTAAATTGATCTATTGAACCCTTGATTTTATGTATGCGTACATTTTCTATTTCTTCTGATTGAACTACCTTGTGACAGAATTTCACTCTATTATAGACAATTTTCCGCAGTTAGATTTCAGCTTGATGTCAACATCATTGGTCATATGATTTGCTTGTTGTTTTTGCTTTAAACACAAGTATAATCAATATCACAGTCAAGGTTGTATACAGTCTTTAAGAATTCTGATATCTTATCTCTAAAAGATGACAGCTCAGCTGCTTCAGAGCAATGAAAACCTGATTAATAAATAAATAAATATTTTCAAGTTATGGTTTGCAGAGATTTGACTGACTGAATGACTGAGTGATTTGCAATTAATAGTGTTCTCTGAGCTGGTTGGTTTAGTTGCGGAGCTTTCGTCGTCCTTCTGGACAACATCTTCAGCGCAATATTTAGCATAAAGTGAAATGATTTAAATTTCTTCATGAGTGATATATTTGCGTCTCCCGGTAACTATCTTTACATCCGTATTGACCATTTTCTATTGACTTGGATTTTAAACTTTCTGGTCACTTGATTTACTTTTTATTAGTTGGTATATTTCGTCTATTATATTAACGTGTTTGTTAATCGCATATTCGTTTGAGTACCAGGCTTCTAGGAATTCCCTGGTACTTTCGGTGTCCCCTCTGTCTAAGATTTTGACATGATCCCAATCAAATCGATGACCATAATTGTCTATATGCATTGATACTAAAGAATACAACATATCGTGTCTTTTCACGGCTGACTTGTGTTCTTGGATTCTAATTCGAAGGGAACGCCCACTTTGGCCTATGTAATGCCTGTTGCAGTTCATACAATTTATTTGGTAAATAGTATTAATTTTATCTCCTTTTTCTGTTGGATCTTTCGGTTTGCATAATATCGAATTAAGCGACTTGGCTGGTTTGTGTGCTATATCTATATCAAACGGTTTCAGTATTACAGCTGTTATTTCAGAGATATTTCTCATGTATGGTAGGATGAATTTTCTTGTGGTCTTTGATGATGGTTCTTTGTTGGTGTTTTGATTCAACTTTAAACACTTTTTGATGAAATTTTGTGGATAACCATTCTTTTTGAAGACGCTTGGTGGGTATTTTTCTTCCATTCCTTTCAACTCTGGAGTACTACAATGTGTTTGTCCACGAACTGATAACGGTTAGAGAAGTAGTGGAAACCACGAATTACTGGAGTGCTGTTTCGTCCTTGGACTAACTAAAGTCAGCGAGTGATCAAGCTTGCGATCAAGTCGATCAAATCCTTCGAAGCGAAAACTTTAAAACTGACCTGGTGTTCATTGTCAACCGAAGTTCTAGTGGGAATTGATAACCAGTGGCATCTACCAAGGTGAAAGTGAGAACAAATACTCGCCAATAACACTGGCTGGTAGTCTCACCATGTATCAGGAGCTAAAATTGATGAGTCGTTGGACTGCATCCCAGTATCTGATTGGTATACGAGCTGGTCTTGTAACCTGGAGGTCCAGAGTTCTATCTCTGGTGAGGTCATGGGTACGTGCTGATGAAGAGTCTCGGACAAGGACAAAACGATGTCCTTTACTCCCTGGTTTTCAGTAGTTCTCCATTACCAGCAAGATCCACCAGGTTGAATATGAGGATAAATATTCACGATACGATTGGCTAGATGTCACGTTATGTAAATCGCGAATTCGCAATAGCTGGAATTAATAGGCCGTTAGGATTCATCTCACTGCCTGATTGGTTAATGAACTCACTTTGTAACTTGGAGGTCGTCGTGGTGTGCATTGATGAAGATCCACAAACCAAGAAGAAGCGGCTCTCCAGTACTCCCTAATTTTTAATAGTTCTCTACGTGATATCAATTTGTGATCAGTCTTGACATGAATAATCTTTCAAAAGTCGAATCAAATTCTCAGTTGCCCTAGACTATTTGATCACTTATTTCATAAGTGAATTTATTCTTTAGTGTTACAACAAGCTGGAAAAGAAGAAAATCGACTTATTAACTCCTAGTGGACATATTTTAAAAAAAATAAAAAAATAATGCTTTATGTAATCTCTTCCGTTTTCCCTTTGAATTTAGCAAAAGAAAGTTTTATTTAATGCGAACTAATTTCTAATGGTCACGATGAACTTGTTGACTTGCCTTCTGTTGTCATTAAAACCACTAATCCCGTCTCACTGTTATTTCTTAGTAATAATAATAATATGTTTGCTAAGTACATGTTACTCAAAACAGCGTTAGAAAGTCTTTTAGGCGTAACATTTACCAATTTAAATACTGTTTACTGGGAAGTTTCCCTTTAAATAATATTACTTACAAAGTAAATGTTATGCCTTCAACAGTTAACATACATATTCTAATTCTATTCATTGAAAATTTGGTGCCGTCACGTAGTGACAGCTTCAGTGTCAAAAAGAAATAAAAGCACATCACGAGTTGATCACGGATTGGTATCAGTTAGAGAACCAATGAAAATCAGGGAGTACTAGACAGCTGTATCATTCTAGTTTGGAATCATCACCAGTAGTACCACTGGGGTTCGAACCCAGGACCTTCCGGTTACAAGGCAAGCTGCCGATGATTCCCAAACTAGGATGAAAGAGCTGTCCAGTACTCCCTTGTGGTTTTCAATGGTTCTATAACTGATATCAATGCGTGATTAACTCGTAAAAACAAAACTAGTCCTTACAAACCAACTATAGAAAAATTACATGAGTTAGGTTTTTTGAGGGAGCCAAAAACAATGTCGTGGTGTTTATTTTGTGGCGTAAACCGGTGTTTGTTTATTTTTAGAAAGAAGAGTAATCAGAGGGAACAACTGTGGTTTCAGTAAATTCAGTTAGATACATTTGTTTAAATCAAGTTCACTTTTAACAGTTTGAAAAATTTTAGGGATTATGGAAATAATATTCATTATAATAAAGGTTTTCTGTATTTACCAATGAATAAAAAACAAAACGACATTGTTTTTACTGACGCTTCACTATTCAATGCCAGTAGTTTTATCGAAGTATTCATAATTAAACCAGAATTTACAAAATCTAAGTTTATGTGTAACAAATTAATCATCGTTCCTCAGCATAGGGAAATTTTTAAGTTGTCAAGTTGGCCAGTTGGTAAAGATAACAAAACCAAGTGTAGATTGTTGGATTTGATAAATATGTAAAATTACAAAAGCAGCGTGTGTTTACATAATGAAAGTGCTTATCACATTCGCGTTGATTTTGTCACTTCATGGGGGAGGGAGGTGTTGTAACCAGGTCACATTCCGTTTTAGTCCATCATTCCTATTCAGGTAATTTGGATTCCACTTGATACGAAGTGCTTGTGATATTAGACGTTCCTTGTGATTTCTGAAGTTTTTCTGGATTATTTCAATATTGTCAGAATCAATTTCGTGGCCTGATTCTATAGCTTGTAGGCCTATGGCTGATGATTTTTCAAGTTTTTCTATTTTTTTTGGATTTTTCAGGGGTCGAACAAATGCACTACGGTGTTCATTTATTCTGATTTCGATTTATCAAGATGTTTGTCTGGTGTATGTCGCATCACATTCCAAGCATTTTATTTTACGGAAACAATTATATAAAGAATCTTTGTGGATTCGGTTTTTTTTGAAATGGACAAGGTTGCTTTGCAATGTGTTTGATGTTTTGAAGAAAACTCTGATGTCGTGCTTACTGAGTACTCTTCTGATATCATCTGAAATTTCTGCTGCATATGGAATGGCAACTATTCAGACCCATGTTTTCGGAATCCGTTTTCGACCATACATGTCAGTGTTGATTTTGTAGATGAAGTTCTTTGGGTAGTTGTCTTCATGGAGAGTCTCAGTAATGTTTGATATTTCTTCTTCTTTTTCTTTCTCATCCGTTATCAAAGAGTGTACTCATCTAAGAAGACTTGAAACAACTGATACCTTTGCACTGATGGGATGCGATGATCTGAAGTCTAAATATTTGTTGGAGTGGGTTTTCTTCCTGAAGATGGATATACTAAAATGTCCGTTTTCTCTCCTCCTAACTATGCAGTCTAGAAGTGGTAGTTCACCGACGTCTGACTCTGCTTCTGAAGTAAGCTGGATTCCGGGAGATAGATTGTTCAGTTTCTCCAAGAATGAACTGTATTGATCTCGTTTTAGATCTACAGAAGTATCATCTACACATCAAAAAAAAACAGAATCGTTTTGTTTTTAATTCATGAGGAAATACAAAAAACCTTTATTATGATGAATATTAAGCCTAGCTATTGTTTAGCGCAGATGGAATTAAGAAATCCATTGAGGAAATAGTGCCTTTATTCATTTGTTGTTAAAAGTGAAAACTTATTTAATAAACGGTTATGGTTGTTTCAGGACACTGTTTATTCCAAGTAAAGTTTTCTGGGTTTTCATTTACTCCAAACCTTGATGGACTGAAATATTCGGTCTCTAATAAAATTATGAAATCCGACGTCAGTGAAAGTAGTATCGTTTTGTTTTTCATTCATTGGGAAATGCAAAATATGTTACAATACTGAATATCAATTCAACACAAATTGCGCTTATATCAGAAAGTGTACTGTGGTACGCGTATAGGACGAAATAATAGTAATAGTTCTCTGTAATTATTCTTGTTCTTTAAAACATATCATGATATTCAAGTCACTAGAATTTTTAATTTAGTGGATGGTGACTGTCAACAGAATCCAGAGTAGGACTCGTCAACTGGGTGCACCTGCAATCCCCAGTTAGTAATAGTGTTCCCCCACTGAGACTTGAGCCCACCACTCATCATTTCGAAACTTCCAATATAATTGATCAGTGGGGAATAAAAAATTAAATTAAATTAAAACAAATAATGACTGGTACCTCTTTGCACAAGAGGTGGCTCTCATGTCGTCCCAAGTGGATAACGCTGTAGTGTTTGAAATGGTGGGTGTTGG